AAGGTAGATATAGGTATTAGGATTAGAACAAACCTTGTAAGAGCAGAGGAACCAGAAATTGTGCAGTTTAATAGTTAGCCCTAACTACTAGTGTTGGTCTTGGCCATAGCAAATAGGTTCTCTGAACCTAATTCAGAAATATGTGAGATATCAAAGAATTAGGGAGGTAGCTATTATACCCACCTGTGGAGACCCATAGGTAACTAACAGAATAACCAAGTTCAAGTAAGTTAGTGAGAGCACTTTGGTACTATATAAAAATACCTAGCTTAGAATAATTAGTGGATATATACAATCTAAGAGTTTAAATAGATAATCCCTTAGCTGAGTTATAGATATAGCATCTAGTATAGAACCTTCAAGCAACCTATTTAAATAAGTAACCAAAAGTTGTATATGTGGCTAGTTGTACTTTCATTGTAATACTAAAATATAGACCTATATAGTCAACAATAAACATCAATAAAGCTTGGTCCCAAAGGACACCTTATAAAAAAAAAAAAAATAAATAAATAATTTTAACAAGCCTAAAATTATTAAAATTTAATTACAAAATCTTAAAATTATTTTAGACCAACTAAAATCTTAACTAATAAAATTAAAGAAATTTTTATTTATATATGAGATATCTGAATACAGATATATAGAAAAGCCAATCAGATGACATAATTAGATGTAATGTAAAATTAATGTATTCTTTAAAAAATCGGTTATAACTCAAAATTTTACTTATAAATCAGCCTTTTGGGTATTAATTAAAAAAATTTTTTGCAAAATTTTGCTATAAGTTATTTTTTAAACTTACCCTTACTTAAGGTTGACACATTTATCTATTGGTATAAATGGATCCCAGGTCTATTGACTAGTTCTATTGATTCCATTGGATGGTTACTATTCCAATAAACTAATAAACAAGCAGATAAAATAATTATATAGTTTTTATAAATGAGTTTAAAATATTATACTACATGATATTTGAGATTTTTTGGTATTAACCTTATTTTGGCTTATGCTAATGGATTAATGGACCAATGAACCAATAGATTATGGTATTGGTCCATTGAGTTCTATTGACAAACCTCTTTTCAATGAATATAATCCATTGTCTACTCTAACCTTAGACAATGTTTAACTTTTCATTTTACACAAATTGTTTTGATTTATACATTATACAGATTTGCAAATTAATATCTATATACAAACACCCTATATACAATTAGTTATTTTCTAAAATTAATTATTTAATCAATAAAATTGCCTAAAACAAATGTTTGTATTGGTTTTTTATTAAAAACCAGCAAAATAAATTACACAATTATTTGTTTTAAACAATTTTATTAGTTAAATAATTAATTCTATTATATTAGTTAAAATTTTATTTGATCTATAGTGATTTTAAAATCCTGTAATAGATTTTAATAATTTTGGGCTTGTTAGAATCACCTCATTGAGAAGACCATTTTGGTAATAAAACCATTTAAAATAAACCAATAGATTAAAAGTTATTGCTAATTCCAAAAATTGCCCCATAAAACACCAAGACGATGCAAATTAAATTAATTGTTTCTCGTTACATGGGTCCAAATTTTATTATAATGATACTATTGCAAACTATAGTTTATGAAAGAATCGCGAATTAAGCTTTTATCAATAGATTGGGCTTTTTTATTTATGAACTTTTATTAAACCCTACCTAAAACATATCACCTACATCCTGTTGTTGTTGCCTAGCTAAAATCGCTGCTTTACAGTTAAAGAAAGTATCATCTTCTCGTAATCCATCATCATCATTTTCGTCTTGTTCATCATTACATAAAATATAATCTTTAAAGTTATTTTGAACGCTTGGTGACGAAGCCAAGTGAAAACCTGGAAGGATTTTGGAATCCAACACGTTAGAAATGGTCTTGGATTTAACAGTACAGTATCCATCCTCATCTACGCTAACTGGAGTTGGTGGAACTGGACTTAAAATGCTTATAAGATCATCAACGATAATCTTTGCAGCTTCTTTCGCCGGAGTTTTCAGTAACTTTGACGGTGCAACTGAAAATTGAATCGTGACCGGTGGTGAGAATTCGGCAAAGTCACTATCAGTACCACGGGACGATGGTGGACCACCAGGGAAATAGGAGCCTGGACGAGAATTTGCTCCTTTATATGGATTTTTTTCTATAATAGGTCTTAGTGGTGTTTGCCTGGCCAACATTTGTTGCCTTTGCATCACGCGTTCTATCAACGTATTTGGTCTACGATCGGACGGCGGTAAAGGTGGCATAGATATGTAAGTAGAGCTGGTGCCATGAGAAAGGTCACCCGACTCTTTTTTCTTTGGAATTTTTTCACCCCAAGCTAGTGATTGTAGTAACTTGTGCTCCAACTTTGGTGGATCCTGTAATGGCGTCGATGAGATAGAAAGATATTTCGCAGAAGGTGGGTAGATACTTGAATTGGTGGTCTTACTATTGTTCGTCGCGTTTGATAAAATCTCATCACACTTTTTGTCATTGGAATTATCGAAATCAGGTAGTGAAGAGTTATTATTTTTCGCAGGTGGGTAGATACTCGAGCTAGTGGTCTTATTATTGTTTGTCGCGTTTGATAAAATCTCATCACACTTTTTTTTGCCATTGGAATTATCGAAATCTTCCATCGAAGGTGGTGAAAAATTATCATTTGAAGAAGATAAATCTAAAGATTCAAAGAAGGACCACCATAACTATTAAAAAATTTCAATTAACTAATTATACCGACTTCAAATAATCGCGTATATTACTGTAACATAGCCATTAATAATCATTACCTTTGAATTTTCCCAAATATCCTCCGAAACTTCTGCAAAACGCGAGATTTGTGGTAATATTCTAGTAGATACTTTATGTTGACATCTGGAAAAATTGTTGTCAATTTCCTGTAGTGTCAAAGTGATATTTTGTTCCAACTTTTCAAGTCTAGCAGTCAAATCGTTAACTGACGAGAATGCCATTTTCAAAACGCGTAACGTACATTCCATCCAACTTTTTATTTGGGTCATGTAACACGATTTCTGATTGGTTAATTTATAAAGGCGCCAAAATCGAATGAGATGCCGTGAACAAAGTCACGGGGAATCCATTTGTAACACCAAAATTCAGCAAATCGGTCCGAATTTGGGTCGGAATAGGCCGGAGTTAATAAATTTTTTCTAAAATCACCCAA